TTTTTTTTTTTTTTTTTTTTTTTTTTTTTTTTTTTTTCAGCTTACCCATATGAATCGTACTGAAATCTGTCAGCTCCCCAAGCCAGCAATTCTCGAACACATTCCAAGGAACCACCACGAGCAGCTAAATGGAGTGGCGAACTACCTGGACAACTGCATAACATATTCACAACAATCCATCATTCTCTGGATATACTCAGAATGAACGAATGAAAGATCATTCCTCATACCTGCAAGTGGAGACACAGACAAGAGCACCATTGCTAAGAAGGATACGGACACACTCAGGTTGGCTCTGCCTGGCGGATAAATGCAATGGAGTTGAGCCATCCCCATCCCTAATGTTCACAAATCTTGCAAACCCCCTAGCCATTTCCATTCAATTCAAATTCAAAACCCATCATATTAAGCCAATACTCGAAGGTAAATGCTTGAAGAAGAAGAGTAAATTGACTAACCAAGAGTCGGATACAGGGGTGGTATGCGCAGCAGAGAGAATCGCTTGCAGGCAATCAGAATGCCCATAGTAAGCTGCATAATGCAAGCAGGTTCTTCGATGTGTAGAATCAAACATCAATATCTATGGATGTCAAACAAACACCGGTAAGCAAAATTGCATCAAAATTAGATACAAACTTCTGAAAAAACGCACATTAGCTCCTGCTTCGATCAGCCTCTGAACACAAGCTATCTTCCCGCTCATCGCAGCCAGCATCAGAGGAGTCTAAATCAACCAAAACAAGGATCAGTTCAATCGAAAGATGAATCGAACTGCCAAAGAGCTGAACACAAACATTCGATCAAACGAAACAAAAACCTGATTATGCCGATTCAGAACGTCCGGATTCACATTCCAGTCCAAGAGCATCGAAAGAATCTACAACAACAAATACTCAATGAATAAAAATGAAGGAAAATCTCTTGAAATTCAACTCAAACTCACATCGGTCTGTCCATTGGCAGCCGCTACATGTAGAGCAGATAGTCCTTGATGTTTGGTTGTTTGGTGTAAGATGGAGGAATCAATCTCCATCAAGGCTCGAACAACTTCCACATCTCCGTTCTGCAGAGCTCTGAAGAAGACTCCAGTTCCATGCCGGTCCGCGCAGCTCAGTCCCTGGCCCATTCCCCCCTCACTCTGCAACCTCCAGTTAAATAAATGGCCTCCTAGAACATGGAGAGGAGCTCGAGACGAAGCTCACTCACCAGGCTTCAATGGCGGACGTACAAGGAGATGGAGATGAGTGGGGGAATTGCAGGCGTGGATGAGAAGGAAGAGAGCATGTGATAGTGAATGAATGAATGAATTGAATTAAAATGGCCTCGTAATTTGAACCTGCCCGCCATAGCAGCGGGCAACTTCGTCGTGTGGGCTTTAAGAAGATACTTTTTCTTTTTCTTTTCTCTGGATTTTGGCGTCATTGTCGGATATTTTGGGCATTTCCTATTATTTTATATTATCTCCTCATCCCCATGCACCATATTATTTTTTGCTGTCACTTTCAGAATTTCAATCAATTATTATTATTATTTTTAACCAATCAACTTTTGCACTCGGGCTTTTTTTCTTTATAAATTTGAGATATTTTTTAAAATCAGCCATTTATTAAAAAAAAAATTGTAAAAATTAATTAATTTTTAATTTATATAATTTAATAAACCTCCTTCGTCTCCTATAATTAATTCAAAACATTTAAAACTTTGAAAAACCCATATAAACAAAATTTATAATGAAATCTTTTCTTTTTTTTAATTTTTTAACTAAAAAAATGAAAATTCATTTATAGTCCAAATAAATAGTTACGTATGCAGCTGTACAAAATATAAATGAGTACAACCATCAATTTAAAATAACACAGGGTGTCAGAAAATATTGTATGTGCAGAGAATTATTCTGTGTCACTCATACATGAATAATGTAGTATCCAAGGATCTTAAAGTAAAATACTCGATTTTACTTTAGTGAAGTGTGCAATAACTTTGATTTTTTAAACTTTCAATCAATAAAATCCTGAATTTAAATGTTTCTGCGAAATTAATGTACTTAAATTAGGAAATTAAGTTTCAATAAAATGAAAGTTAGATCTCATAAATGCTAACCATAACTATAGAATAAATTGGTCTTGAAGAGAAATATTCATGGTATGTGTAACGCCCCAAATCCACTTCTAGATATTGTTTTATTTAAACTTTCACTTTTGGACTTCCCCTAAGCAGATATTGTCTTCTTCTCAAAGCTTTTAGCAGATATTGTCCTTTTTAGGTTTTCCCTTTCAGACTTTAAAAGGCCTAATGCTAGGGGAAGGTTTTCACACCCTTATAAATGATGGTTTGTTCTCCTCTTCCAACTAATGTGGACATCACAATATGAGACATTTTGAATGAATTTAAAAAATAATATTATGCATAACCATCGTAGAGTTTCGTCTTTCCTATAAGTTGTCTTAGAGTCATGTCGTTCTTATCTCAATTTAGCTATGTCAAAAGAGTTGTCAAAGGTGTAGTCACAGTGGCTTCGGTGTCGAGCATATAAGTTATAAATCTCGAGGGTATAATCATGATGAAGATCCAAGAAATTGTAACCTTAAAGGTGTAGGGTTATAATAAAGATCGTGGTAAAGCTAGCTACTTGATTAAATTTAATCGTGACGATTATAAATTATAATAAATACAACTCTTAATTAATTAATTTCAGTAAAATTCATTTCCACCGATTTTTTTTTTTTTTTTTCAAAAAGGAAATTTGAAACGTGCTTTTAATTATAATGATGCCTTTGTTTTATTGGACAGAAAACTGTTGTACGTAAGACCAATTTCCCCCATTTTAGCCATCATCCTCGTTCCCATCTTTCCCTTTTCAGAAGCTACTTCATTCATTGGTCAATTTCTTACGGCTGTACAGTAAAAAGTAACGAACGGCCGCACCGTATAGATTCCCCAATTATTAACCGGCTTTCCGATGGGCCCAGGCCCATGTGAGCCCAACGAGCCTTAGCCCATATACCAACTGCATAATTAGGCCTGATTGTTTGTTATTCGAGCCCAATAAAACTAAACTGCAGGCCCAATACGGATAAGAGGCCCAATAAGCCCATACAGATCACCATCAGCGTCTAAAATCACTGGCTGTCTTATATGTTCGTGTCCTCTAAAACCCTAGAAAAACCATTTCCTCATTTCATTGGAGTCTGCAGTCTCGCAGCTTACTGTTAGGCTTTCTGGAGTTCAGCCATGTCGGATGTTGAGATTTCTCGTTCGGAGAAGAAGAAGAAGAAGCATCGGAGCAAGGATGAAGAAGTTTCACCAGTGGTAGGTTCCGACGAGCAGCCGCTCAAGGACGTTGCTGACTTTTTGATCAAGCCGCAAAGTTTTACTCCTCCGGTGGATACATCTCAATGGCCTATTCTTCTGAAGAACTACGACCGTCTCAATGTACGTACTGGACACTACACTCCTTTACCGTCTGGTTTCTCTCCTCTGAAGCGGCCTCTGATTGACTACATCAGGTATGGTATTCTCAACCTTGATAAACCGGCGAATCCTTCGTCGCACGAGGTTGTGGCTTGGATTAAACGGATTCTTCGGGTTGATAAAACGGGTCATAGTGGTACACTGGATCCGAAGGTTACTGGTAATTTGATTGTGTGCATTGATCGAGCCACGCGGCTCGTGAAGTCGCAACAGGGTGCGGGTAAGGAGTATGTGTGTGTTGCTCGTTTGCATTCTGCTGTACCCGATGTTGCTAAGGTGGCTCGGGCTCTGGAGACGCTCACTGGAGCTGTGTTTCAGAGGCCGCCTTTGATATCGGCTGTGAAAAGACAGCTTAGGATCAGGACTATATATGAGAGTAAGCTTCTTGAATATGACGCCGATAAACATTTGGTTGTGTTCTGGATTTCTTGTGAGGCTGGAACTTACGTTAGAACATTGTGTGTGCACTTGGGTCTCATTCTTGGTGTTGGAGGGCATATGCAAGAACTTAGGAGGGTGAGGTCTGGGATTTTGGGTGAGAAGGATAACATGGTTACAATGCATGATGTTATGGATGCTCAATGGGTTTATGATAATTTCAAGGATGAGAGTTATCTGAGGAGGGTAATTATGCCTCTTGAGGTGGTTTTGACAAGCTATAAAAGATTGGTTGTCAAGGATTCTGCTGTTAATGCTATTTGTTATGGTGCCAAGTTAATGATTCCAGGGCTGTTGAGATTTGAGAATGATATTGAAGTTGGGGAAGAAGTTGTACTTATGACCACCAAGGGTGAAGCCATTGCTCTTGGTATTGCAGAGATGACCACTTCTGTGATGGCAACTTGTGATCATGGCATTGTTGCAAAGATCAAAAGGGTTGTGATGGATCGTGATACGTACCCAAGGAAATGGGGACTAGGTCCAAGGGCATCGATGAAGAAAAAGCTTATTGGAGAAGGGAAGTTGGATAAGCATGGAAAACCAAATGAGAACACTCCTCAAGAGTGGCTGAGGAATTTGGTTTTGCCTACTGGTGGGGATTCATTGGTTGCAAGCGTTTTCGCTTCCGATACCGCCACTCCAAAGCAGAGCGTTGCAGCTGATGAGGAAAAAGATGGTGTAGGGCGGAAGCGGAAACACGATGAGGAAACAGAAGCTGCAGCTCCTGCTAAGAAACTGAAAGGTGAAAAGGTCGAGGAAGCTGAAGAAATCGAAGAATCGGGGAAGAAAGAGAAGAAAAAGAAGAAGAAAGATAAGGAGAAGGGAGGCATAGAAGCTTCAGATGATGAAAAAGCTGAGAAATCAGAGAAGAAAAAGAAGAAGAAAGACAAGGATGCAAAAGAAGAAGCGGGTACTCCCGAGACAGAGAAGTCGGAGAAGAAGAAGAAGAAGAAGAAAGACAAGGAGTCTGGAAATGATACTCAAAATGGCGAAGCAGAAGGCCATGTTGATGGAGGGAGTGAGAAGAAAAAGAAGAAGAAAAAGAAGAACAAAGAAGAAGCAGACGAATAAGAAAGATTGTAGTTTTAGTTTCTAGATTGTAAGGCCATCATCTATTTCAGTTTCTAGATTTTGCAACATCTTTTTTATGCATTTTCTGTAGAATTTTTGCTTAAACACAAAATGGTATGGTAGGCTGTTCGATTGTTCTTACCAAAACTTCCTTGCTGCTGCTGCTATTGTTCCCTTCTGGATTTGATATCTATCTTTCCATCTTTTGCAAGCCCCTAATGATGCTCCATTATCAAGAACAACCCCCGATCGCTGGAAGCAGGAAATGGGCTATAACATCTATGAACACATTGGGCCTGAGAGTGATCCATTGGGCTTTTATTTTGGGCCTGAGAGGTATCCAATGGGCTTTTTGTTTGGGCCTATGAGGTATCTACTGGGCTTTTATTTTGGGCCTAAGAGTGATCGAATGGGCTTTTAAACGCTATTGCATTCTCATAAATTAATTTACGTGTATCATGAATGTAGCTTAGCTTCCAACAAATATTAGTCTAAATTGACTTCTTGGGTCAATTTCTTTTTAAAGTCAACTCAACCATTGACTTATTTTGGTGTTTAAATGTATGAAGTCGAACATTTGTGAGCACTTACATACTCCATGTCCGTGCTTTCATTCAATTAGAAATTAGAAGAATCATAATCTCGTTTCTTTTTATTTTTTGAATCGGTAAAATTTGAAAATTTTGGCCAACTCGAAACAAAAATCACTACTAATTTTTTTAAAAGATAACATTGAATTGGCACATCAAAGTCCAAACTCCTTTTCATGGCCTTCAACAAGCAAGCAGACAATTTTTCTTACTTATGAAAATTTGCTTCAATTTTTATCCTTTTCTCTTCATTAAACTTTTGCCTTTCCATAAATACGGCGTCGTTTCTTAGATACCAACCCCATTTCCCCCAACCATCACAGTCTCATAGGGACCCCACCTATAATTCCAATGCAAAAAAATATACAAAAGAAGACTGTCCTTCACCACAAAAGCCCCAATCCAACCTCTTTTAATTATGATCTTAAAAAAAAAAAACAAAACAAAACAAAATTTCCAAGTTCGACACTCCCCTCCACGCCACCATTAAACATACACGATCCTATATAGCCCAGAACAGTCTCTAAACTAACATTAAGTCGGTCAATACCGACACCAAATTTTTAAATAAGTTTTACCCAAAAATTAAAAGAAAAAAATAATATGTTTGTAAAGCAAATAGTGATGAGAGAGAAAAAGAAAAGGATCAAAAGAAGCTTATGGACTAAGAAACATCATCCCTAATGCCCTAAAAAGCAATAGAAAAACAAAATAAGACATTAAAAAAAAAAAAAAAAAAAAAAAAAAAAAAAAAAAAAAAAAAAAAAAAAA